ATGTTATTTTTGTCGATTTTCCTTCCCCTTTTTTTTTTTTTTTTTTTTTTTTTTTTTTTCTGTGTGTGAGCACATCCTGTCACAAATGAAGCTCCGCATGTAAGAAAGCAAGTCACTAGAATCCCTAATGCTTCTAATCCCTAACTAATGCTTCTCCTATGGCTGTGTTCTTACAGGGTGAAGTGAAACTGTCATCTAGTGGTCATAGGAGGTGTTTCTGCATTACCACTTTTATCGGGAATGTTTCTTATTTCTGGGATGTATCACCTGCAAATACTGCGCTAAAAATATATATATATATATGAGAGGCTTTGAGGTGAAGGGAAAAAACCCAGAATCTTTGATAAAGAATAATAAAAAATTATAACTTTGTGCAGCAGGGCTGTGAACTCCCCTTTTCCCTCTCTCTCCCTCAATTTACCACAGTGACATATCACCTTCTGCCTTACTGAGCAGCTGTGGGAGGCTGACGATCGAGATAACCGCAGCTAAAATAGGGCATCAGAAGAACTTCTCTTGTTGGGTATCTTAATATAATGACTTTACAGGTCAGCCTTAATTTCAAATTTCCCCTTAAAAGTAGTAGAAACCTACTCATCCTAGAAGGTCAAGCTTTGTTACAGCGTCAGTGCAATGTCAGTGTTTTCAGTTGGACAGGCACAGGTTGTAAGGAAGAACAGCCTTCAGCCTAAGGGTGTAGGTCTGCTGTGCATTGTCCTCAGCAAATTGCAGGGATATATCAAGAAACAACAGGCACCATGAGTGGGCACAGCCTCAGGCTTCTAGATATTTGAGGACAGACCATTTTATATAAAAGCTACTCTGCAGCAATTATATTGATACTGTCAGTAGAGAGCGGACTATGTGCATCTTCTCACTATGGGCTTCTTAATGTCTTAGTGTTTTGCGCTGATTGGTGAAGTTAATACTAACACCTCGACAATAATGACTGGAGTTCAGCAAATAAATGTGAAAAATTGTGTGACTGGTACACAGTGTAATAAGAATATGCTCTTACAAATAGGAAAACCGGTAGAGCCAAGTGCAGAGTGTGATGATTCAGGCTAGAATATTGCTGTATGGCATTAGCACCTGCATCTCATCTCTGTGATACTGTAGACAGGAGCAGGTGTGATTCTCAGCTTTTCATATGGAGAGATTCATGTGCACTGATCAGTGAGGAAGCTTTTATGCAAGCAAGATCTCCTGGAGCCAATTGGCAACGTAAGTCATAATACTTGACAAACAAACCTCCCATCTAGCTCAGTTTGCAGATTCTGTGTATTATTTGTATTTTCACAGGTGCTGGAGCCTCAGTTTTGGATGAAGATCCCTTTATTCAAGGTGTTTGCAAATTCAGAACCTCAAGATAGCATCCTTGTGATGTCTGCAGTTTTAAGTATATATTGAGGGGCAATTCCGACAGAGGCAGATGATGGAGACCGTAAGGGAATCACAAGGTAATCTGATCTGTGTAATTAGCAGTAATTCCAGTATGCCCACACCCTAAAAATTTAATTTTTATTAAACACATGTCATTTCAAAAGTGAAGCAAAGACACTGAAGAAAAATAATAAGGTACCTTTCTGGATGTTTATGCAGTTTCCTAACCAAGGAGTGTCCCATCTGAGGTAAATAGCAAAAAACACAAGGTGAATTGTTTTTAAACTTAATGTGTGGTCAAAGATAGCTGGCTTCTTTAGTCCATCAGGGAGAAATGATTTCTCAATAGCAAATGCAAGGGAGAACAGGTTAGGCTATGGAAAACTTTCTTACATATTTACTAGTAAAATATATTCAGTAGTGAAAATTCTTTGCTTAGGATTTTCTGTGTGTAGGTTTTGGTCTGACTGTGTAGCTTCTTTCTGTTCAAATATATTGTTTGAGCTTGTTTTCTAATTATGACTAAATACATTGAACACTTTTCTTTCGCTACCAAAATATGAATCAGTTTTTACTCTGCTTATAAAGATTTTAGATTGGTTGATATTTCTTCTAATAAATGTTTTTTGAAAACCATTTCTTTAGCATCCCCTTGCCAATACACTAGTTGTCTGGATTTGTATAAGGAACTACACTCACTCTCTATAGATTTGTGTGATGAAGTCCCGGCTACATCTGGAGGTAGGTGGCTATGTCAATGCTTATGTGAAAGTCATCCAGCTCTAATGTGGAAACTTAAATTTCTATTCCAGTAGGATGAAAATAGAAGATGCTGAAGCCATTTTAATTCATAGTGGGAAGTAAGCTGGGCAGAACTACAGAGCAGTCACACGCTGAACCAGAAGGTCTGTGATGGACAGCAGGGTTGCAAACTAGACTATAATTAGTAAACCACAAATATGAGTAAGTGATACTGGTAGGATAATGTAGTTGTATGTAGTTGGGCTGTAGAGACAGGGTAATATCTGAAACACCACTTTTAATGGATTCTTTTTTGTTAGGAAAGCTGTTTGAAGCAGGTAAGTGGTGATATAAAGACCATTCTGCTAAAAACTGCAATTTAATAAAATCTTATGTGTTGCTGTAATGGGTGATGAAGGGCTTGGCTTTGTTCCCATTAAATAATTTCTGGTTAGAGTGGCCCAAGAACTGATGTATGTACAGAAGTTCTGTTCAGTCTCAGGATTTGTAGTGTGTCCATTGTTTAGTACTGCTGGTGTCACCTCACTCTGACGGCAGCCTGCTGCACTTCAGCTGCTGTGTGGATGCACGCCAGCACAGAATCTGCTGCCTTGCTGTGCATGTGAGCTCAGCCCTCAGCACTCTCTATAGTCATAAAATAACCATGATTATTAACTGTCTGATGAGAGCAGGAATGGCAGTTGTACACTGTCAAGACACTGGAATGTATGTGTGAAGATAAAATATAGCAGTAAAGGTGGGAAAGATAAATTAGCAAAATTAAATGTTGCAGCAAAGAGATAGCATTGGTAAATGTGGTTAAAGCCAAAACCTTTCTGGGAGGAGCTGAAAAGCTGCTGACATTCTTCCTGTGACTTTGCAACATGCTGGGGAGTTTAGAGGGCAGGCTTGCCTGGCTGCCAAGAGACAGCCAACACAGCACTTTTGTGTGGAGGATGGCTGCAGCACAACAGCAGCACATCGCAAAGGGAAGTAGCAAGTACCCTGATGAAGAATTAGGAGTTCAGGAAGGGACTTTCTGCTCTAAACCTTCTGCGCTGCTCAGGATGAAGAGCATCTTTCTATATGTGTGTATACATAAGACTCTTAACTCATTTATCACAGTCACAAACTGAAATCCTGTTTTCTGCCCATAGGAGGCCTGAATGTGGAACAAAGTAGGGGATGAAGGAAATCAGTTAGCAACTTAGCAATGTCCAGGGCTGGTACATACATGATTTAGTCCAGTGTAATAGGCATGTAAAGGATCATAAAACCCTACAGCTAGACAGCAGGTTAGCAGATATTATAATTCTGTAAATATAATATATTACATATAAACTGGCAAGAGCTACATATAAACTTCAAGAGCTGCTGTCTCGTAGGATGGACCCCACTTTATGGACAGTGAACAACATAAATTACTTTCAGTCCACAGAAAAAAAAGTCTAAGAAGTGATGGCACCCTGGTTTTGGGTGGAAAGAAAGATCACAGGGCAGTATTACAATTTTAAGTTGGGAATTTCAGAGGTTTATGACAGAGTTGATTGGCTCTCTTCCTTGGTAATTCACTGGTTCCTTTAAAACTTGTTAGTAGCTGATTGATATTCAGCTCTGATCCCTTCCATTCCAAAATGACATACAGAAACAGAAAACTATGCAGAGAGCACCTGGAGAAAAGCTGCTGTTTCATAGCTGCTAGAATGAGAATAAATAACCATCTGTACCAGTTTACACGACTCATACATTTAGGAATTGCAATCAATTTAGGAGTCTGTTTTCCAAGCACTGGGTCATAGCCTTTGGGAGGCTCTCTCAAAAGAAAGCTCTAGTGAGGTGGGGCAAAGAAATTTCTATAGTCTAAAGGAAAAATCTATTTCTTCTGAACCTACAATCAGACTGAGTACCCAGCCAGTCTTTTAAAATATTGAAATAAGATGTAGTAAACACAGGTTTACACATGGATTTCTTTACTATTACTGTAAAGCCAGTTCATACTTTAGCTTGTAAGGCATCAAACCAAAAAGTTAAAGAACTGCTAATATATAGAGGACAATTTATTTGTTTTATTTCCAAAAGATATTTTGGGAAGGTGAGAAGTCACCTCAACATGAGCCACATGAAGATATCTAAGCTAATTTACATACAGAAAAGTGAATTTGCAAATATATTTAAAAGAATATCAATAAAACATTCAGACATATCAATGAAAAAAAATCTTCAATTGTGGTAGTTAAAATAAATACGACTAGAATTAGAAAGCATTTTATCCTTTTTGGACATTATTGCACAGTGATAGAGGATATATTTGAACTTGTTTTATTGTGTGAAATACTTGATGTTTGTGTAACATAATTCTTTTACAGTATCGTAATGCTGATACTCTTACGAAAGAGGACGATGCCATATTTTGAGAGAAACTTATGGAAAAGTAATCATAACAATAATCTGAGAATGAACACATTTAACAGAAATACTGAATATGAACCCAACAAGTAAATTCATCATGGTAGTAAAGTCTCTTTCTTAGTGGTTGACCTTCTAAAGTCATCACTCTTTTCCATTTTTAGAACCGGGGTATTAAAGGTCCTCCCTACCAGCATCTTCCACCATTTGAGCTATTCTGTGATGATCAGTACTCAGGCCCTATGGTAGTAATTTGTGAATTGGAAAAAAAGTGGCTGTTGGTTGAAGAGTGTTTCATTTTAGTTCAGACATAACACTTCTCCCATCTCCCAAAGGTGTGCAACATAGTGTCAAGTGCTTCAAAGTAATGCCTAGAAGTGACTGCCAAAACTAGGATCTCCAAGGCAAGAACAGCAAAGGGAAGACTGATCACAACAGCTTTTCCAGGAAAAACTATGGCATGGGGTCAGTCACGTGCTCCCAAAGGAATAACCTGTTTCCTTTCCCAAGGAAGAAGGCAAAACAGGGAAAAAAGAGAACTATGCAGACTCATCAGCAAGCACAGGTGTTTAAACAGACCTTGTGAGCTATGTTGCCCCCAAATCCAAAGAAATCCTCTGAGAAGTTTCTGTCTATAACCAGTCTTTCATAAAGTGTCTCTCTCCCTCTCCAGTGTCGAATCATTCAAGTTGCTGGTGACAGTCTTTGTGGAAGATTCTGCCCCGCTGTCAGATCAGACACTGAGTTGTAAATAATGTTTTCCTTTTGTACATAAGTAGTATAAGGTTCCACTTCCACTGTGTCATCCTAGAGAAACAAAACCAAAAACTGTAAATATAAGGAGCAGTTTAGTTTGGCGAGACTCTGCAAGCCTTTTGTCTGAACTGAAGAATGTAACTGAGGAATGGTGCTCCCGTATTTACTCCTCTTGGACTCAAGAAAAAAAAAACAACCTCTATTGCTTTTTCTACCAAAGAACCTGTATTGCTGTTTCTGTCAAAGATTTGGAGAGTAAAGCTGAGGTATTGGTTTGCCTGAATCCCTTTCCTTCTACCTGACTTATTTTGGGCTGAAAAAAATTTTATTATGGTCTAATTCTCTAGAAAGAGCAAATAACTTGTTGGAGTCTTGACCATGATTGATTCCTCCATCAATCTACAGTTTCTGTCTACAGAGATGCCAATGAAAATTGTGTGATGTGACAGCAGGAACAGTGGTACTTAACCCATTATTTTACATTAATGCAATTGTGTCTGTCAGCAACATCTGGGAGGTACGGCAACAGAATAGGAGGAATAATAATAATAACTAGAATGGACTAAGTCTTTTCCAAACTCAAACCTGATGCACCTTTTTAAGTGGATAACAAAATTTGAGCCTAATATCTACTGTAGGTGCACAGATATTCGCAATATAGACGTAACATGTCTTGCCTGCATAGAAATGCTGTTATTTATACTTGGTAGCAGAGAACAGAGACACAGAGTTGATGAGTGAATCACTCAGCTATACAGGAAGCTTGGAACAGCAGAGGGAATTCAAGAATACCTTCCAGCTTGCAACTCAGCACTCCCTCCATTGGTTTATAAAATCTTTTGTCTTGAGTATGGTTGGTTCTTTGATTGTGGATTGACCATACAAGATCAAGAGTGGCCTTTAACACTTGCACATTATCACTCTGGACACCAAGAGGGATATTCTTTTTTTTTTTTTTTTCCTGTGTCTGCTAATTTTGTTGTTTAATCCTCTTGTTTACTAATAACTTTCTTAATATTCCCCAGCCCATGATACTGCCTCCCTTCCTGAGTACTGTTTGTCCAGCAGTTGTGGTCAGTGTATGTGATATGACCATAGAGATGTGGTGGGACTCAATCCTTGCTAAGATAAAGGATGGCAGTTGCTGAGCCTTTGCTGTTGGAACTTGCCTCTAATGTTTGCTCCAAATCAAAATTATGGTGATGTTTTGTCCTGAGATACAGCTAAGAGCAAACATACAAGACACGGTAGCACCTGCTGAACACAGAGTAAAAATCTAGTTGTTTTCCTTTATTGACCATCTTTTCAGAGCTACCAGAAGATCTCTGATTTGGTGATGGTTTAATTTGTGTCATTGTCCTTACCTGTGGTGAATGTGTAGGAGCAGTTTCAGGAGGTTTGGTTTTGTGGCACAGTCTGTGAAAAAGAAAACAAGTATTAAAGCAGACTCCTTCCTCAATCTGAGGCTTGGCTGGATCACAGCCTGGTTTCTTTGATCACAAGCTTATGAAACATTTATTTTTCTTGTCAAGAATAAAGCCAAAAGTCTTCTCGTGTCTCTCCTTCCTTGACCTTTGATCCTGAAATTATGGCACCCTGACTTTCTTTAGAGGTCTTTTCTCATGTTTGTGGGAGCTTAAGCACAAAGTAGAAGCAGAAGATTAACATCAGAGTCTGCTGGAAGGATGTACAATTTGCAGTTAGTGAAGTTGTGTTAAACTAATTCTTCAACTCTGATGGAGAATGTTTGGGAGAAAACCAGTGTTGGAATAGGGGAAAAAGGTAACATAGCTGAAATTTTCAATACAGGTGCTAGTTCAGCCTTCCTCTGCACAAATAATTTCTATAGTTTTTCCTTGGAACTTCTTTTTTGTCCAAAGTAAATCCTAAAGGGGCTAAAGTCCTGCTTCACCCAGGGAGCTTTTTCATAACTACAGACACAATCTGTTGTCTTGTCTGTTGATATGGCAGGACAGCACTGGTCAGTCCTCTGGCACTTAATAGAACTTCTTAGGTAGCAGAACCAAACCCCTGATCTAAACAATAGAGACACTGACAGACTCTCACAGTATCTAAAGAACAGCTTTACTCTCCCAGTTCCCTACAAGAATGAAGAGCTCCCCTTTAGCATAGCAGGCAATGCAGTAAGGATCCTTTGCCAACCTCTGCCCCTTTATATTTTACTCAAGTGCAGTGGTGATGTGTGCAATGCACAGTGCCCATAGTATAGAAATGCTTACAGTTAATTCAGATATTCATAGCAGCACAGACTGACAGAATCATATGATTCCAAGACACAAACATTACTTAAAGATTCGTTCTAGCACCAAACAATATTTCCTTAGCTCTCTATCATACATACCTGTCACTGTGGAGCTTAAAACAATAAATGAGAGCCATGGAGGTGATAATGCTCAGGAAACAAGGAATGATGTAGACATGCGGGTTAACGCTTTCATTCCCTAAACAGAAAGAGTTAGCCTTAGTTGTATCTTCTACTGCTCAGTTTCTTTATTATTTTAGTATAGGATTAAAGCTGTTTTAGCACATAAACACATTTTCAGCATGCTTGTGAAATAAATATAATCCCCTTCATCAGAAGTGAAGGTCAGTAATGAAACTTGTCTGAGAAACACAGACGGTGTCTGTGTCAGAGACAAAAGCAGATCCCACAAATCCCCCAGCGGACACGATATTTTTTAACTAAGCCATAGCTGAGCTCCTCTCCAGGACTCAGCACATCTCAGTACTGCAACTCATATATAGTTCTCAAAAGCAACAAAAAACCTGAAAACCCAAATGTCATACAGTGTCAGAGATTCACAACTCAGAATGAAGTGATTTATTTGTTCCCATTGGCCCCACAAGAGTTGGTTCTCTTTCTCTCACCATGATCTGAGGACGAGCCTTTACAGTTGCATCTAAAAATAATTTTGCTGGTATTCTGCTTCCAAGTGATTATTTTAACACTAAGATCATGACTGCTTTGTCTCTGTTTCCAACAATATTTCCACTTACTAAAAGAACATTACGACACTTATGTATCTCCCTCTTAGGGAAGAAACCACTAGGAAATAGTGCCTAGAACACAAAGAAGCTGGTAATGCTTCTGGGCAAGGGCAGTTGGGGATGGTACTCTTGTCTATAAAAGACTTCATTGAAGGATCCTCTAGCTCTATAGATTTTCCTTCCTGGAAGGAACAAGATTGTGCACACAAGGCTAACTGGGGTTTTGAACTCCAAACACACAGAGGGAAGCTTACCCGGGGGACGACAGGCTATGGACTTGCTCTGGTTCCCAGCTGGGTGGGACACAATGCAGGTCGTATTAGTCCTGTTGGCGCTGTGTGCTGTGAACTTGCTGAGAACAGTCACTGTCCCGTTGTCGTGGGCTTCTTCCCTGGGGGTGGAGGTGCTCTCCAGGACCCACGAGATCTGAGCAGGCGGCTTCCCTGCCACTGCCTGGCACACAGGGACCCCGTGGTCATCACAGTACAGGGTCAGCCTCGGGGGGGCTGCAAAGCATCAGGAAGGGGACATGCGTGGAGTTAGTTTGCCTCAGCTGGGGCAGGATCCTCTTGTTCTCTACCCACAACCAACACAGTGAAAAGAGGAGAAGAAGGTTGGAGGTGCCGTCCAGTTACAGCGACATGGGCCAGAGCCACAGGACACAAAGATTGGGCCTCTTTTCTCCTTTTGGACAACTGTCCCCCTTTCAGGTGAGTTACCACAGCCATGTACTGTTAGAGGAGGATTCCCTGGACACTGCAGTAGGGAATTATCCCAAATACAGGGCTGAATCACACTTTTGTCCTAAGCAGCCATCATACATGTGCTTTAAAATGTACTTGAACGCCAGCATAAGAGGAAATGGGGCCGTTCTTACTGTCTGGATAAGAACATCCTGTGTTTGACAGAACACCTCAGCACTTGGAAGTGTTACTCTCCCAGGCTTTAGTTCTCTTAAATTAGTGTATTGATGATTGAGTCTACAGAGTAACCAGAAGCATACACAGAATCCTCTGTTAGTATATTGGATATTGCTTGACACCTCTCATTTCTAACTCGATAGTGGGAAAGGGGGCAGCAGAAAGGAGAAGAGTTTTGGGAAATAAAGAGAAAGGAGAACCAGAGCTCCTATCAATGAAAGGCATGATGGTTTATCCCAGGCAGAAAGCTCTTCTTTCTTACTGCATGCTTCCCCTGGTGCATGGGGTGAGGAGCTTTGTATGTCCAAGCCCAGACATTGTCCTCTGGAGAACTGTAAAATGAGGAAGAAGTCCCTTACCCAGCACAGTCAGGTGGTACGTCTTGTGGAAATTCCCTTCTGTTTTTACTAGTTCGCAGGTGTAATCTCCCTCATGAGCTATTTCCACCTGCCGTATCTCAAGGGTGGGATCTCGATCTGGTCTGAATTTCCAGTTGATTCTGTCACTGCAGTTTGTTCTGTCTGTCTTGTTCTGATCAGCCCTGTACCCCAAGGCGCAGTGCCCTCCAAACTTGGGCATTATTTTCCATGTTACCATAGTTGCATTTGTTTTGGGAGAGCAGGTGAGCACAGGGCTGCTACCTACTGTTGCTGTCTCTGTCACTCTGTTGTTCCCTGAAGGAGAGAAACAAGGAGAAGGACGTGTGAGAAGGTGCCCAGGGATGTCACTCACAGCCTTGGAGTTCTGGTCTGTGCTTCACAAAGACATGTCTACACTTTACACACCAGCATTAGACCCTGTCTGTGCTCATCTGTAAGGTCTGTCATTTTGTATTACAGCTGTGGTTTATGCAACCAGTGGCCTATCACAGCCTGCTCCCTCAATATTCACAACAAATTTCCCACTGGGACTCATCTCAGTGGATAAGACAGATATTGGAGGAAGACCCTACTTCTGCCCATTGTCTTAAGCAGTTCAGCATCCAAACAATGTGTCTCTCTTGGCAAATCCTGCAGTGTTTGCTCACAGGGTTGTGATTACTTACAGGCTGAAAAGATGGAAATTTGACTGTTGGATTTGGCCACGTGACTTTTCTCTGGAACTGTTGCTACCAACAAAGTAAACAACTTTGACTTCTGCATTCATACGAAACCCAACCCTGTGGGCAAAGGCCTTGTCTACACCTCTCAGACATGACAACGGTGTAGATAATAATGGTGGAGCTTCGTGTAGGAGGAAAGGTTTTTGCCTCATGTCTTAGGGCAGTCTTTTCATTATCGAATCTTTGTGAACATTCACACAATGAATATACACAATGTGTACATGTACATAGGCATTAACACTGTGATTGTATTTTTTTTTTTACTGCAGTGGTCCCCACAGGACATGCATGGAAGTCCTACCCATCTTTGTGCCAGGCACGCAGTTACAAAGGTGTAAAATACGCCCACACTCATGTGCATGTTCCTTGCAAGGGTAGGATTGCAAAGAAATTTTATTCAGTTGATGTATCAGCTGTGTTGATGCTCTAATAGTGAGTATGTCTTGTTCTTGAATTCCAGTTTGCATTTGCTTGGAAATGTTCTGGTTTTTCTTTGGGGATTTTTGTGGGTTTTTTTGTTTTGGTTTGGTTTGGTTTTTTTTTTTCTGTTCTATGACAGTCTTTTGGGTTTTAAAAGATTACTCTTGCTTGGAGTCAGGCACCACACCTCCTCTCTTTATCTTTTCATGATCCATGAACTATGTCCTTGAAGCTAGCTATCTGTATGGAAAAGCTTGGACCTAGTCCTCTTGTCCTTTTTGGAGATTATCACATTGGCCATTAAAGGGTGGAGAGCCAAAATAATATTAGGGCTCCTCTGTGTGTTGTGTTTGTTGAAAACAATTTACACCCTCAGGATTGCCTTTAATTTCTTTTAAATTTTTTGGTTTTATTTATGGGTCCCTGAATTTCTTATTAGCCAAGAAACTAATTTGCCCATGTTTTCTTTTTCCACAACCTTTCAGGACTGATACATTTTTGCACATATTGAACATGAGTCAGGCTTTCTTTCTTTATATTGACCAGGTTTGGGACCCTTCATCTGCCTGTGTTTTCAGCTGACACATCCAAGGGGTCAAGTTTCTAACCCTGAGATTCATTTCACTATCTCCTTGACCATTGAAGGCCCTCGACATGATGTCAACTTTGGGACAGTTGGCTCTTTTGCTTTGTTTCTGTCATATTGGGACCTCTTCCTTAATAAAGTGTTCTGTGATGGGGTTTGTTCGCAGTAAAGGTATATATGGGCAAGCACTCAGAGGTGAAAGAAAGATCAACTGTAACTTATATGTGCATTAGCATTGCCTACGCTTACATATGCAGCCCACCCTCCTTCGTAAGACACTTCTGAAACATAGAAAACAAGAATTTCTGAGGCACAGGTTGTAAAACATTATGAAGAGTAGGTGAGGGAATGGGAATTTTGTGTCATTTGGGTCCTACTGAAATTAAAAGCAAACAATCCCCCAAATCCACAATGCATGTACATGTATAAATAACCAACTGAAGAATCACAGAATCACAGAACCATCTTGGTTCGAAAAGCCCTTGAAGCTCCTCCAGTCCAACCATGAACCTCACCCTGACCGTTCCCAACTCCACCAGATCCCTCAGCGCTGGGTCAACCCGACTCTTCAACCCCTCCAGGGATGGGGACTCCCCCCCTGCCCTGGGCAGCCCATTCCAACGCCCAACAACCCCTTCTGCAAAGAAATACTTCCTAAGAGCCAGTCTGACCCTGCCCTGGCACAGCTCTTGGCCTGGTGCTGGTTCCTTGGCTCAAGAGACTCATCCCCCCTCTCTGCACCCTCCTTTCAGGGAGCTGTAGAGGGTGATGAGGTCTCCCCTCAGCCTTTCTTCTCCAGACTAAACCCCTCAGTTCCCTCAGCCGCTCCCCATCAGACCTGTGCTCCAGACCCTGCACCAGCTCCGTTGCCCTTCTCTGGACACGCTCGAGTCATTCAATGGCCTTTTTGTAGTGAGGGGCCCAAAACTGAACACAGGAATCGAGGGGCGGCCTCACCAGTGCCGAGTACAGGGGTCAGATCCTTTCCCTGTCCCTGCTGGCCACGCCAGTGGTGACACAAGCCAGGATGCCATTGGCCTTCTTGGCCCTCTGGGCACACTGCTGGCTCATTATCAATCCCCCCCAGGTCCCTCTCTGACTGGCAGCTTTCCAGCCACTCCTCCCCAAGCCTGTAACGCTGCTGGGGGTTGTTGTGGCCCAAGGGCAGCCCCCGGCATTTGCCCTTAGTGAAACTCCCCCAGTTGGGCTCAGCCCATGGCTCCAGCCTGTCCAGGTCTCTCTGCAGAGCCTCCCTACCCTCGAGCAGATCAACACTCCCACCCAACTGGGTGTCATCTGCAAACTGACTGAGGGTGCACTCGATCCCCTCGTCTAGATCATCAATAAAAATGTTAAACAGGAGTGGCCCCAAAACCGAGCCCTGGGGGACACCACCTGTGACTGGATGCCAACTGGATTTAACTCTGTTCCCCACAACTCTTTGGGCCCGGCCATCCAGACAGTTATTACCCAGCAAAGCGTGTGCCCATCCAAGCTGCAAGCAGCCAGTTTCACCAGGAGAATGCTGTGGGAAACCGTGTCAAAGGCCTTGCTAAAATCAAGGTAGACAACATCCACAGCCTTTCCCTCATCCAATAAGCAGGTCGCTCTGTCATAGAAGGAGATCAGGTTTGTCAGGCAGGACCTGCCTTTCATAAGCCCGTGCTGACTGGGCCTGAGCATCTGGTTGTCCCTCATGTGTTGCATGATGGTGTTTAGGATGAACTGCTCCATCAGCTTCCCATGCACCGAAGTCAAGCTGACAGGCCTGTAATTTCCCAGATCACCCCTTCGACCTTCCTATAGATGGGCGTCACATTGGCTAATTTCCAATCAGTCAGGACCTCCCTGGTCAGCCAGGACTGCTGGTAAATGATAGAAAGTGGCCTGGCGAGCACCCAGCCAGCTCTGTTGCACCCTCGGGTGTATCCCATCCAGTCCAATAGACTTGTGTATGCCTACGTGATGCAGCAGGTCACTGACTGTCTCCTGGATTGCGGGGGGGATTGTTCTCCCAGTCTCTGTCTTCTGGCTGAGGAGGCTGGATTCCCTCAATACAACTAGTCTTGTTATTAAGACTGAGGCAAAGAAGGCATTAAGCACCTCAGCCTTCTCCTCATCTCTTGTTACCATGTTTCCTCCTGCATCTAGCAGGGGATGGAGACTCTCCCTGGTCTTTCTTTTGCTGCTGCAGTACTTATAGAAATATTTCTTGTTATCTTTGACTCCTGAAGCCAGATTAATTTCTAGCTGGGCTTTAGCCCACCTGATTTCCACCCTGTATAGCCTCACAATGTCTTTGTAATCTCTGTGTGTGGCTAGCCCCTTCTTCCAAAGGCTGTAAACTCTCCTTTTCTCCCTGAGTTGCAGCCAAAGCTCCCTGTTCAGCCAGGGTGCTCTTCTCTGCCACTGGCCTCTCTTACAGCACCTGGGGACTGCCTGCTCCTGTGTCATTAAGGCTTCCTTCTTAAAGAGCGCCCAGCCTTCCTGGGCCCCTGGACCCTTCAGGACCATCTCCCAAGGGATCCTGTCAAGCAGGTGTCTAAACAAGACAAAGTCAGCCCTTTGGAAGTCCAGAATGTCAGTTCTGCTTCTCCCTCTCCTGGCCTCTCTAAGAATAGAAAACTCTATTAATTCATGATCGCTGTGCCCTAGTCATCCTCCAGCCGCCACACCATCCACCAGTCCTTCTCTGTTCACAAAGAGGAGATCCAACAGGGCACCTTCTCTGGTTGGTTCTCTCACCATCTGTGTCAGGAAGTTGTCTCCCACACATGCCAGGAATCTCCTGGACTGGTCTCACTCTGCTGTGTTGTATTTCCTGCAGATGTCTGGGAAGTTTAAGTCTCCCACAAGAACAAGGGCAAGCGATCATGTGATTTCACCTAAATGCTTATAAAATATCTCGTCCATCTCTCTGTCCTGGTTGGGTGGCCTGTAGTAGACTCCTACTACAACATCTGCCCTGTTGGCCTTCCTAATGATTCTAATGCAGAGACACTCCACCCTGTCTTCACTACACTTGTACTCAAAGCAATTATAACAGTCCCTAACAGCCACCCCACCACCTCTCCTGCCTTGTCTGTCCCTCCTGAAGAGCTTGTACCCATCAACTGGCACACTCCAGTCATGGGAGACATCCCACCATGTTTCTGTAATAGCCACTACTCATAATTTTCCTGTTTCATCATGGCTACAAGCTCCTCCGGTTTGTTACCCATGCTGTGTGCATTGGTATACAGGCACTTCAGATGGGCTGATGTTTTGCCCCCTCCCCCCTCCAAATCCAGTTTTAAGCTCTGTCAATGAGCCCAGCTAACTCCTGCCCCAGATCCTCTTCCCTCTCCAGGACAGGTGCATTCTGTCTAATGTCAAAATGTCAGGTGCCCTGTATACCAACCCATGATTGAAGAATCCAAAGCCCTGACAGTGACACCAGTCTTGGAGCCACTCGTTCATCTGCTGAATTCTCCTGTAATCTTCCTCATCCATCCCCCCCAACCAAAGGGATGGAGGAGAACACAATTTGTGCCCCCGACCCCTTAAGCAGTTTTCCCAACGACCTG